CAGTATGAGGTATGATGCAGATATTGAAAGATCTGTGGACAGGACAAAAAGAGACAGAAATGAGGAACACATACCAGTATGTGCTAGACCTCAGAAAACAACTGAAGGTTACCTGTCAACTTGTTCAAGAAAGGTTTTATGCAGCTCAAGGCAGTCAGAAACATTTCTATGGCAAGAAGGCCAAGAGTCAATGTTTTGAAGTCGGACAGAAGGTCTTGGTTCTGCTACCAAAAAACAACAAGCTCACCCTACAATGGAAACGACCTTTTTAGGTGCAGCAAGTGGTCAACAGAATGGACTACATGGTGAAAGTGGACAGGAAAACCAAGATCTACCATACCAACCTGTTGAAGATGTACTTTGAGAGGGAAGAATACCTAATGGGTACAGCTATTGAGGCACAGATGGACATTGCAGGTGTAGCTGTTATAGACACAGAACGAGAAGATAGTGATTTTGTCGTAGAAGATGAAGACCTACTAGACCTAAGACCACTGGGGGGACATGGGATGTACAAAGACGTCAACATCAGTGAAGAACTTACTGGCAAGCAGAAGAAAGAGTTACAGGATCTACTGTGCCAGTATGCCAGGCAAGACAAACCCCATACAACACAAGACAAAGACGACGACCATGGATCTAGTCAAGGTGAAATCCTACCAGATGCCTTATGCAATGAGAGACCTGATTAAGCAAGAAGTCTCGGCAAGGTTAAAAGCTGGAATCATTGAGCCTTCGAATTCAGACCTAAGACCACTGGGTGGAGATGAGATGTACAAGGATGTCAGCATCAGTAAAGAACTTACTGGCAAACAGGAGAAAGAGTTACAAGATCTTCTGTGCCAGTATGCAGATGTCTTCACAGATAGACCAGGCAAGACAGACCTCATGCAACACAAGATTAAGACCATGACCAAGGATATTGTTAAGGTGAAGCCCTACCAGATGCGATGAGAGACCTGATCAAGCAAGAAGTCTGGGCAATGTCAAAAGCTGGTATCATTGAGCCTTCGAATTCAGTCTTCACCAGTGGTAATTGTAAAGAAGAGGAACAGCTGAAACTGCTTCTGCATAGATTTCCAAAAGCTTAACCTCATGACAAAGTTTGACTCCGAACCTATGGGCAACACAGAGACTATCATGATGAAACTAGATAGGGCCAAGTTCTTGTTCTTTTCCAAGATCGACCTCATAAATGTTATTTGCAGAACTCGATGGAGACAGGATCTAAAGAAAAGATAGCTTTTGTGACACCACACAAATGCTATCAGCTCAAGAGAATGCTGTTTGGGTTAGTCAACTCAGCAGCAACATTCAACCATATGATGAAGAAGATGTTGCACAAGACTTCCAAAATGGAGCATTATGTGGACAATATTCTAACCCACACAGCCAGATGGGAAGATCACCTGAAGAAACTAAGAGAGCTGTTCAGGTGAGTGAGGGCAACAGGTCTGACCATCAGACCATCTAAATGCTACATCAGTTATTCAGTTCTTTCTTGGCCAACAACCAAGCAACAAATCAAATCCTTCCTGGAGTTAGTGGGATACTATAGGAAGTCCATCCCAAATTAAGTTGAAATCACTCTGCCATGGATGGACCTGACCAAGAAAAGCCAATCCAACAAAGTGAAGTAAGAAAAAGACAACAGCAGATGGCATTCCAGAAGTTGAAGAACATGTTAGGAAGACTTAGAATGACAGACTTCAACAAACCAATCATTGTTCAGGTTGATGTATCAAATGTTGGAATTGAGGCAGTACTTCTGCAAGAACATGAAGACGAACTGTTTCCCAAAAAGCACGTCAGTAAAAGGCTGTCGAGTAGTGAAAATAACTACTCTTTGATTGAACAAGAGCGCTTGGCCATCGTTTTTACCATCTGCCTCTTGCATACATCCAAAGTTGTAAAACTGACAGTGAGAAGATAATGAGACAGGTGTTGTATCTCCAGAACTAATGGTTACACATTGAAGAAATCAAGAGGACTGCATATGTTGGTGCAGACTGTACGAGTAGATTTTGTTCATGAACTGAAAACAGTCTTTATATAGTATAAAAAAATGTTGTAAATATTTTTATTGAAGAGGGGCTTATTTTTAGGTATACATGATAATTTAAGTTTAATGCAAGTGTTATGATTTAGATAGTTTAAGTATAGTGTGAGTGTTAAATTTAGTTATTTTTAGAAAGGATAGTTTATCGACATATATTTATATAACTGTGTACGAATCATACATTGTGTAGTTCAATTGTTATGAATTGGCACTTCTTGTATTATTGCAACAAGATACTAGAATCTTCTAAGTTTTTCTCATTGTTTCAGTTGAGTATTATTGCATCATAATATTGCATAGTGTGTGGAACATTCTAGGCCTCTGTCAGTCTATAAATATGTATACAAAATGTAGTTTGAGTTAGTCATTTAGACAAAGTTAGTTAGATAGATAGATCTAGACTGCTATAAAGAGCATACAGTGGCAATTTTTAGAGTGAAATTATCACAGATTGTACTGTAATAACAGAGTAGTGGAAAAATAATTTATCTTGTCAGTTATGTTATAAACTAACTAAACCAGCCTGTGTGTACTTTGATGAAAAGAGACAATTATTTAAAACTCTGGATACAACTGTGTAAGGAATATTTGTGCATATGTTTGACTTGTTTTAGTATGTTATTTTAAAACAAGTAAATTGTGTGCTGTTTGTTTATTGTTGAAATTTATTGCCAACAAATCACAGACACCTACTGTAAAGAAACCATCCACATATACATATAAAAACATGACATGCTTCTTATAATAAGAATATATTAATTTCTTAGATTATAATAATAGCAACTAAGCTTATGTATTTATACATAAACACAATAACATTTCAAAAATATAACCATTCTCATATTTTAACAGTTATAATGATATTTTTATTATTGTCTAATCAAAAGTTGTTGTCAAGATAATGCATATTGTTACATTAAACAAATGTTACATTAGGTGTCACTACATTCTTTAGTACAAGATCTGAATAAACTTCTACCCTCAATCCATATGTTATTAGGATACATTTAATTAAATCTTAATAATTACTGCATATCAGACCTCAAGAGTCAGCATACCACATATTCATAATCAATGACACAAAGCTCTTTTGCACAGCCCGGCATGGCCAGGTGGATAAGGCGCTCG